ATAATACGCCCATAGAAGAGACATGTATATGGACGGACACCAAGAGGGACGCGCGTCGAGCTGCCTCTCTGTGACAACGACCTTGATCTCGAATTCGCGCTCTATCGTGCTCTCTCTTTCTCACACCCCCATTCTCTCGTTTCCTCACTCTCGCTTCGGCAAAGAGGAACAAGGAACAAGTGGGCGCATAGAGAGCAGTTTTCCTTCGATGCAGTAATAACGTAGTTAAGCAGAATACCCACACAGTTACGCGCGGTGCGTCTCAAGATACTCGGCCTCCGACATATTCACGCACACGCATTCGAACTTCTGGTCAGGATCGTCCCTTCTCCCACGAAAGAACATCCCTCTTCGTTTCGTTAACTTCGTGTTCTTCGCCTCATCTCTTTTACTATCTACCTATCTCTCCCTTTCTCGAGCTTCGTTACCCCCTCTCACCCTCGTCGCACTCACTCCCACACACACAGCGGTAACACACAGCGTAGACGTGTAGCGAAGAAAAACCCGAATAAACGAACAGGCCCGTGTCAAAGGGTGGTTTCGTACGACTTGATTCTCTTTTTTCTTCTATCTCGACCATAACAAATAACTGATCGTTGTCTTGCGTATTATCGGCGTTTCGCGCGATGCCCCGGGGTTTGGTTGACCCCCGCGATACGACACTGGCCAGAGAAACAAGCGACACACGTCTATGTGTTTAGAGAAAGAAAGAGGAAGGAAGAAGAAGTGTATGAAGAGAAAAGGATCCACTCGCCTGAACAGTGTTGCGTTTGAGGAGCCGTGGTAGGAACTGCCCGTAGTAATAGTCGTCAGCTGATTTCGACTGGCTGGCTGGCTGAACAGTCAAGCCGTTGTTGAGGGGCGAGAGCCGAGGTACAACATGGTGGTGGGGACAGCCGTATAGGGGGGAAGCTTTTAAAGCAATATCAGGGTCGTATCATCGTACGACGCCCCTGTCGCATCGATCTCCTCTTTTCTCGGATATTTTGCAAATCTTATCTGAATTTGGAAAATTAAAAATCTGACGATTCGATAGGAAGTCATCCTAGTTCTATCTGTAATATTAAGGTCTTGCTGTTTACGGGAATTCTTTACTAACTATGTCTTCTTTTTATAGGCAGACTTATTCATCAGAGATACAGTTTAAAGACGGCACTGTATTTTGAAAAAGATATAAGATGAGATTCAAAATTGCGTGGGCTGTAAGAACCACGAAATTGAAAGAACCGTTAATGCAGGAAGTGGAAAATCAATGAGGAGCTCCGTGACTTGGTTGCTGGTAGTGCAAGGCACTCGTATAAAATATCTAGCACGGTGATAATGTAATTCTTAACTGTCGTTATTTATATTACACGAGATATAATCGTTGACCCACCTTCAATAAGCAACCCGTTTTTACGATAATAAATATCAAGTGCCGATCATAGAATTCAATCACATATATGTTAAAAAGATTTTGTCAAGAATACGTTTCCATAAATTGAAAGAATCGAGAAACAACGCAAAACGTATTTCGGGTGATTTTTATTTTTATGCTGACCTTCATCTTGGCTGCTGAGAATTCGCACCCAGACACGTGCGAGCAGCTTTAGCAACTGACGTAATGTGAATCTTTCGTAATTTAGCGTACGCGACAGGTAAGTATTTTTTTAAAGGAAGAACCCTCACGAACCGAGAATTCGACGGGGGCCTGACGATTCATTGATTCGTCAGTGAAAACAATTCGGTAGTGAGGGAACGCTCAGCTGGGCGAACAGCTGCTGGCCGCTGTTAACGCTTGAACACTTGGAAAGCATTTTTACCTAGCCTACTAAAAGAATTTCCCTTTTCCCGCGAAAATTCTGTGTCTAAATTCTTTCAGGACCGAAAAGCCAGGTCCGAGTCTCTACCTGAGAATATACCTGCGAAAGATCTCTTACCATTCCTTTTCCTTGAAATAAAGTAGCTTCATTTAGCTCGTAGCGACATCGTGTTGCCTGTAGTGGCAATCATATGTAGCAGTGCTTCTCAAAATAAAGTAAAGTTAACCAACTCGATGTAAAAAAATCGATAGTCGAAACGTCAAATCCTGCTAAATAGATCTTTGATCTTTATTCTTTTGAATTGTAATAATCCTGCGAGAAACTTTCTTACTTGTATATTTAGGTTATGTTTCATCTATGCTTAATATAGCCATAACCTTGCCTAAACGGTGAATGTGGCATCCAATGAAATGTTGAATGTAACCATCGAATACATAAGCCTTTGTTCTTTATTGTTTTAAGTCGTAATAACTCTATAATAAGATATTTTGTTTCTTTTTTTTCTTCTTTTCTTATACAATGTCTAGTTCATGTCTAGGTTATGTCTAGTTTATACTCTAGTATATACCTTAATATAGACATAACTTTATCAAAACTTTAAATATAACGATGCTGTAATGTTTCCTCAAAAATCGAATAACTCCGTGTAACGTTTGTTTGCTGGATTAGAGGTATTCGTAAATCAAACGTAATCTTATCGTTGTTTACAAATGAGTTTGAAGAGGTTGTATGCGCACGCTGCTATTTCATACTGATAGCTACATAAAACAATGTATGACGAAATTGGCGAAAAATTAGAGCAGAATGGATTTCGAAGATGGAATACAAATGAATTTTGTGGAGTGAATGGGACAAGACTGGAATACCACTCTAAACAGTATAAACGAGACGCCTGCGCCAGTCTCCCCTGTCAATACTGTTTGGGGGATGCCTCCATTTCGCTGTTGGATTGATACGAGTCAATGCACGCCAGTAACAAACCGGGCATAAGAAACATTTTGTTTCCTACGATCTAGTATCGCCTACTTCTCTGACATTGATTTCTGGAAACCCTTATGTGCTCAAAAAATAACCCAATCCCGAAATCTATCGATCAGACGACTTGTTCCTTTAGCCTTCCGAATCTTATACTTTTGTCTTCTCAAAGAAACTCTTCTCACCAAATTGACTTCAAGTATGGATAAATCGTTAATTTGTAATTCCCTGGAAAATAATATTTAGAAGCGAAGACGCACTGAAAATACGTGGAAACAAATTAATGGATTTTTAATGTTCTGTTACAAGATATGTATATATGCAGAGGGAGATAATTCAGTAGTAGGAAAACAAAATTACGATAAAAGTGTAAAAGGGGAACTTATTCGGATATTTCGTTCTTTTTAATGGAAAAATTGTTAATACGATATCGAACGTTGCGTATGTGAGATTTGATAGCGTTCAATTAATTGAGGAAATGTCAACAATTGAAGAAAATTATTTTTTATCCGTAACGAAATTTCAAAAATTTTGCAATACGAATAATTTGTACAACGTAAAATAGAGAGACGTGTTCAGGATAATCTTATTAAATATCCGTCCGAGTCCCAGGAGTCGTTGTAAAAACAGGGTCGGAAAATCCCGAATAACACGATAGCGCTTGTCTCAATCGATTACGAAAAGAACCAAGCGGCACAATATTGCTCGTCATATTTGTTACTTATTTACCGAATGTCCAGCTGGACGAATTGTAAAATACAAATTAAATAATAAAAAAAATATATATTTGTTACTTTATGAAATACATCTATATTATTAAATATTTCAAGTTTTGTTCAATAAAAGTTATTGAGAAGATAACAATGAAATACAAAATACCGTCAGTCGTCCGTAGCGTTCAAATGTACTTGGACTTTTCGACACAAAATGTACACAACGCGATCGCGCTACTTGGCTCTCAAACTGATATAGAGGTTTATTATTATGATTTCGATTTATGATCTCTGTGAAATATATATTTGCGCTAAATATCTTGTAATTTCTATATATATATATATATATATATATATATTTCAGATGTGTTTCAAACATTACCAATATAATCATAATAATTAAGTCTCATAAAAGTGGTAGAAAATTTTAAAATATTTTATGTAACACATAATATACGTATTTGTAAAAGATTTCTATAAGTTCAAATTGATGAACTACTACAAGCGTACATATGTTTGAGATGGTTTTCTACGAGCTAAATTATTTTATAAATGATGCGTATATATGTATATATGTTTGTGTATAAACAGAATATTTATCAACAGTAGATGTGAACACGAGAACTGAATTTTCTTTGGCATGTTCTTTGTATCACGAGCACTGATTTCCACACTTTGGCACCTACTTACGTATATAAATTGCGGTTTAATATTTGCCACGAGTTTATATCATACTAAAATAATTCTACTATTTCGAGAGCAGAAATAAAAATATCAACGAAATCACAGAACCAGAACAAGTTTATCTATGTCCATAAAATAGCCATTTAAAAACTTGATGAGTTCTAATGAACTCGTAAAATTTCTTACAAAATAAGAAGAGTTCTGATGTCACGTCAACCTTGTATCAATAATGGGCTTTTTTTGCTTCTGTTTTAGGAAATTTATAGTGTTTCTCATTTTCTTTTTTCGTTTTGGATAAATGTGTCTTGGGAATGACAATAATCACGGATAAGTAAATGTATTTGCTTATTGTAACAGCGTCTAAACACGTTGAAGGATGTAAATAAATTCAATTTTTGTGCAAGTTTCATAGCGGACGAAATTAATTTTTTATACATTATTTTTGAAATTATTTAGCATTTGTCTTTGATTCTGTATTATTTTGAGAAATTTGTCAACTTTGCATGAAACAATATAATTTATAGTTGTGTCATAATAAATTTGATTCCAGACCTCAGTTTGTAACCTTCTATCAAGTATCTATTCATGCAATGTGTAGGACAAGTTTCATAAAACCGGTTACGAGTGTTTCCATTTTATTCCGCTCATAATTAATTTTTTCAGTCATTTCTCTCGAATTTCCGATTATACAGCATTCATTTTATTAATAATAAGGAACGTAGAAAATTAACTTGTAGGTATGTACACAGTATATGTTTAATTAGAATTACAAATACATATAAAAATAATATTTAAAAAACATGATTTTTTAAATATACATTTTTAGTGTAATCTTTATTGCAGGATTTTCATTTTTGCCATAAAGTCCTTCACCTTGTTTTTATCAATTCTTTCTTGCCAATTTGCATTGATTTTAAAATGCGATCCAACAATTACAGCGTCAGAGGATAAATAATTTTTTATATTGTTTTTTTTAACGCCAGAACCAATAAGAACTGGTATTTTACTATTCTGTTTAATCTCTGTATATAGTGTGATCTTTCATTATTAAAATATTTTTATATAAATGTTACAATTTGACAAAATAAGGAAATACCTGTAAATTCTGATACATTAACTGGGTCACCGGTGGTAATCCCTGTCAGTATTATTCCATCAGCTAAGAAAAATTTTGCTGCTTTTACTGTCTCTGATAAACTTACATCAGAAGTGATTGCGTGTGAACTATAGGAAAAGAACAACACGATTTTTACATTAGACTAAGAACAAATCAAGCAAAAAAATGAGTTTCCCTTTTCAAGTATATTAATAAATTACCTATGCTTCTTTTTAATGTCAGCAAGAATAAGAATATCATCTGCATCAATTTGTTTTCTATATCTTAATAAAGAGCCAGCACATGCATCTGTAAAACCCTCATCTGCGATATGAGAAAAGACAAACCCTTCTGCTCTGATAAATTGAAGATTTGCTGCCTTTGCTACAGCTATGGCTTCCTTGTTACATCCTGCCAAAATCTATTTCGGTTATTGTCTCTTCTTTAATAAGTTATAGATTTTTCTGATATTTTATGTGATAAATTCTTCGATTCGTACCTGTATACCACAGGGTATATATTGAGGTAATACTTTCCTTACTTCTGTGCAAATTCTGGTCATTATTGCTGTAGTTTCAGGAGTTAAATCTTTGGGCTTTACATATGGAATGTCATGCATATTTTCTACTAATATACCGTCCTTAAAAGTAAATATGCTATATTAATAAACCATGAAACTAATAACAGATGAATTATGTAATTAAACTTACAATATCATATTCACTATAAATTATCGCTTCTTCTATTGCATTACTTATAATATTTTTGGTATTACCACTATACAAAGGTGTTCCTAAAAAGTATCATTTTTAATATCATGAGCCAATAATGTGCAAATATAAATAACAAATGAACCAAGTCATTCATTGTTCAAAAAATATTTTTCAACATATTTTTGCTGGATATTGTTCTGACGAATCCTTAAGTTTTACGTATTTTTAAATCTAACAGAAATTTTATACCAGGTAATGCACCAACATGTATCATCCCAATCACAGAACATTTCCCCTTGCTAAAAAAGTTATAGAATCGTGGCATATTTCTAGAAAAGTTTTAGTTTAAAGTCACTTTCGCAAACCTTAACTTTAATCACAAATATATAATCGAACTATATATTGTACGCTAAAATAACTGTATTCTGTACTTTAACTACGAAGTTTTGATTAAATAATCAGCTGTTTCGTATCGAGCGCACTGTTGCATCTTTGTTGGATATTTGAGTTTAAAAAGAGACGCAAGGAGGACTTGTAACAGTTAATTTCTATTGATTTGATGTTCCATATTTTTCACCAAACTTATAGCATATATATTTTTAAACGAATGCTGCAATTATTTGAAGTCATTTGTAAATAAATATTTATAAATTTCAGGAAAACATAGTATAGTTAGGTTAATTTTGAATAATCTTAACCTTCTACGTGAATCAAATCAACTTTTAAGGATTTGGTTTCAGAGTAATTTATTTTTAACGTTAAAAGTATTTTTGCAATAAAATAATTTTGACAGAATCTACTTTATTGTATCCGGTGTATACAAAATATATTTAATTGAAGAAATATTATTTAAATTGTTGCAATAGAAATCTAGGGAACTACAATACGGAACGTGCAAAGAATTAGTTATTTTTTACGCCATCTACAATTTTGGGCATAGATATTAAAGATTATGTGTCGTTCATATCGATAAAGTAAAATTTGTGATATTGGGCATTTGAATTCTATATTGCAGTATTTAGTCAATGTGTCTTAGGTTCTGAAACACTTGGAAAAAGATCTGAGCGCTTCTTATATCTTCTGGAATTTTACTATGATGAACATAGAAAACTTCATGTAAGAAACGTATTTTGTGTATAACAATGAAAAGTGGCAAAGTTATCATACAAAATACTTTCATGTGAAATACTTTTTAAGCAATAATTTTGAATTAAAGTGCTAATGTTAGTTTGTAATAATTATGATAACTATAATACTATTTTAGTAACTGTTATATCCTGAAATAATTTCTCATAATTAGTATGATATGAAATTTTACAACTTTAAACTTCTCGTTTTAATAGCGGTAGATAATAGGTAGCTTACTTTCTAACCTAACCTAATGAAACTTCAAATCGTTCGAAGGATGTCATTTAGTGCGTAAAGTTTGATGCTTGAGCGTTCATGATAAAATGCTTAATCGAAGATTAATTTTATCATTTTTATTCTTACGCTTATTCTCCCTGTGAATATCGGAATTTTAGGTTAAATAGGTTGGAAGTAATATACTATATAGCCTCTGATATAAAACTTCTTGGACCTTCAAGTGCTATCAATATAGAGCTTTCAAATTCCTATCTTAAGCCTTTGCGGACTACTGCCGCATATATGCGTTCCATGTAAGCCATCAATTTGGTCGAAGAACTCGTATATGCGTTTGGCGAAAACAATTGATAGAGCCGAACGATTCATATATGTGTGCCACGTGAACGCACCGCTATGAGCGAGAAACTCATACACATGTTCGGCGAAAACAAATGATAGAACCAAAAGACACATATTTGTGTAATTTTTTTTATCCTGTGGAGAATCTGTGCATGTACATATATAATTATGACATCTATGAACGAAAATCACGTCTAAGCAGAAATGTGCGCTGGCAATTTGAAATCTACCACGGCATGACTATCGCGACAGCAGCTCAGCGCCATGGTACGGTTCACTTCGAACCGTCTAGGGCTAATGAATAATGACAAAATTTTGAAGTTTATATGAATTTTCTTACCTAAACATTAGTCTTTCTATCTACACAGGAGAGATGAGATACAATAAATTATTCTTTCAATTTACTCCATTATTTTCGAAATTAGCTCGATCCCTCTTTTTCCCTTTTGCTAGATCGATCATTGATTTTAATATTCCTATCTGTTTTATTATATGTTACCGTATCATGTATATGAAGGTAACGTATATCTGTAACATCGAGATCTGTTTTGCCCTTATTTGAAAAAAACAATCTATAATATCTAGAAATCGATGATAGGTTACCAACAGATACGAATTATCAATCTTATCGTTATATGACTTGTAAAAAAGTAAACTGAATATTTCACAGTCGGTTATGTCAAAAATTATACTAACTAGATAACAAAACTTATCAAGCTCTATATAACGTAAACACTTATTCTCGAACATCCGATATGAATCTTAATAAGGTCTTTTTCTATCTTAAATGTTTTTAACATCGTTTACATCCCGACCAAGAAGTTTCTTCGTGCGGCAGTATGAGGTCGTGGCGACGCGTGGTAGCGCGACGCCGCCACCTCTCGTGGTTCCCCCGTTTCGCAGGTTTTGTTGTGACCGCGGTGGCTTTGACGACAGTTGCGCGTGATTGCAGTCAAGCAGTGCGGTCTTACGGTTCGCTTCCATCGCGAACAATCGCGTGTGCCGGCCCTTCGATTGTTCTTTCGTCTCAACACCCTCGTAACGATTATTTCCAATTCCTTTGCAACTATTTCCACTCAAATTATTCCTACCTTCCTGCCCATAGTTTCTCATAGTTTGCCAGAAATTTTCTCCAAACCTTTTCAAACATCCGCAAGCTCAAGAAAACACATTCATCCGCATAGTGGCCTAGAATCTCTTAATCTCTTTGAGCTTTCCGCTGAGACACGTGTTCGTGAAAACGGGGTTATGCGAGTTTTCTGCACTTGCTGAAGCTAATTTATCACGATGACACTTCGGTATAAAGTAACGCCAGATTTCCGAGTGGTTCTGCCGGAGAATTTGATGATGTTCAGACTTGGACAATGCTGGTGATGTGTCCGTGCTGAAGCCTTAGGTGACAGGGGTTTTTGCGAACATTTTTACTCTCAATAGACAGATTTTCACGTGGCTATACAACGATTCTCAGCAGCAGATTTACCTGATTGCTATGGACACAGCTCTTTTGCCGATTTAATAAGTGGACAGAATTCTTTTAGATACACAATCGGTCACTGTTTGATGACCTCAATTCTGATTAGTGTTTACAGTGAGGTTCTTCGAAGTGACAAATCTTTTTTTAAAAATAAACGACAGATGTAACTCGGGCCTAGCCTTATGAATTATTTCAGATCCTCCTAATGACCTGTTGTAGACAGCGAGGTTTTTCAAATTGAGCAACTAGTTTTACAACAAAATACATCGAATGTAATTTGGTTAGGATCGATTGATTAAGATTTTTAACGGTCCTAATGGAGATTCAATTAAATCTTTTAAAGCAGGAGAACCTACGATGATCCTGATAATGATTTAACGGATAGTTGATGGATAGCGAAGTTTTTGAGGTTAGTTCGTTCAAGAACGAAAGACACTGAACTAAAATTGTTCAGACATAGCTAAAGTTCTAGAGGAGCGGTTCTGATTATAGTCTGCAATCGAACAAAAGATAACTTCACTTCTCTATCTGAGTAATCTTTGGCCACAGTTATTCTACTAAGTGTATAAGTATGTGAAGAGGAAACTGTACGTTGAATAGAGGAACCAGTGCTGCTCTTAATTAAAGCAATCGATCAAGAAACATTGAGCAACTGAGAAGAGGATATAGGTAAATGATTCCCTCGTACAACTAAAGATATATCGGTGTCCTCGTTGCAATGCGTTTCAAACATCAGCTCTTTTATAGATTTTACGATTCACTATGCCGCTTTTGTTTCCGTTTATCGATTCTCAATCCTCTTCGAGGCAATCTGTTCCACGGTCGGAGTTAATTGGTGCAATTAAAATTCCAGACGATTCTGAACGTAGCATCTGATCAAGAAATTTATTCTCTGACTTTACAAACGAATTTTATTTTCATCTTTAGAAAATCGAAATTATTCCAATCGTCGAGCTACTCTTTATCGATTCTGTGATTTTACAAACGAAACTTATTTTTCGATATTATAGTACGTAAATATTAACGGATCACTGTATATTCGATCAATTCGTATTATTATTATGTTTAACTTGTTGCCACGAGGACACCGGAATTTCAACTTGCCTGAATTTATTGGTTCTTGCACGCTTTTCGCCGATTTGTCGATACCTCGAAGACCTGCAATAGTCACGAAGGAACATAGTCGCGCGTTCGCCAGGCACGTCACGTTGCGAAATCTGCATTTGTCGGGCTTTCGCTGGGCCAAGTAGTTGGCCGCGGCCATCAAGCCTACGGTAAAATACCATCGTCCCATCACGTTTAAATACTGTCCCATTCTCACCACCCTCTTGTCCACTACTTTTCTTTCGCTATATCTTGGAAATCGCCTGGATGTTACTTTACAACTTACGTTCAATTAATAACAACTTCCTATGTTCCGCGTGTTAATTAATCAATCCTTTGCCTTTACGAATCAAATTGTAATTTCAACATTTTTCTTATAAGGATTAAGACGTGTCTGCTAACTTTTCTCAACAATTGTAGAAATTGCAAGGTTCAGGAATATTTGCCCAATTTTCTTTGTCGTCTGTGTGCATGTATTAAAAATATCAGATATAATCTTCCCCGTACAAATAGTCGTTCACGTGGCATTTATTTTATCAAATATTTCACCACTTTGACTCGACGAAATTCGGTAGAATCGATTAGTTCCAGCACCTTGGAATTTCCACTGATTTTTGCGTCACGTTCATTATACCAAATTCGTCTTGTTGTCTTTGCTTCACTCGTCATTCAGCGTTATATTATCTAGCCAAGTTCTTCATCCGTGGGTTTTACTAGACTACGGTAGGTTAACTAGAAGTACGTTCGCTGTCGTACATTCACCTCCTGCCTCTTATTTATTACCTTTAATATGGCAAAAGTGGTTCCTTGGTTAACGTTGATTGAAGGTGGAGGCTACTTGAACACGCTCCTGCGTTTAGTTGAAAAGTAATAGAATTTCTCCAATATTGAACAACTTGAAAATCACTAAATTATACATTTCCAAATACTCTTGTTTCATTTGGACATTTATTAAAATTACAACTTGTTACCTGCATCTTACAGTCTTCTCCCTACGGCCCCTGTAACTTTCATAAACAAAATTTATTAGAACCTCTAAAAATAACAGTGATGACAAAAAGAAAAAAAGGTAGAATGATCAAAGACACTCATTTAATTCAATCAAGTTACTATGAACTACATGACCTTCGAATCACCCTAAAAATACGTCGACATCTATCAAGCTTGCCACAACCAGAGTAAACCAACAGTTCCCTTTAAGCAACAAACGAGCACGTGAATCAGCCGATTGCCAGTCGACAAGCTGGCTATCGATCGTCCTTTCAATTCTTCCTCTTCTCTCTCTCTCTCTCACTCTCTCTCTCTTTCTAATCTAGGAGTGTAAATGCAGAAATTTGATAGAGAAGGTTAAAAGCCACGCTACGACCTCTGCTGAATGTTTCAGAAACGCTGAAAAAAGACTTGAGTATAACAAACACGCTGTAGGACAAAAGAAAGCTCTAGTGACATGGTAATACAGAAAAAAAAGAAAAGGAAACGGTACAATTTTAGAGAAACACTTGTAATTAAGGAAAACGATGAAATTATTAATAGACGCGATATACAAGACAAGCATCGTTGACATAGCGTAGTTATTACATACAACCATGAATTTTTTAGACTCTCTCTCTCGTCAGCCATTCCATGCGAAACATCGTTAGTTTGTATCGTAATTTCGACAGATTATCTCGACGATGAATACCGACTTAAGGTAAAAGGCCGACACGCGATAACAACCGAAAGATAAGAAGTAACATTTTTAGAACAAAACGAGTAACCGTCGCGTGAACAAGAATCCAGCCAGCTATCTTTAGGCCAGATTTATGCTTGCGATTTGGTTTATGTCTTGCCCGCGGTTTAAATGCCGTTTGAACTCCCTGAAACCTGTCAGTCTTTTATTAGCCAATTTCGTTTCGCCGACACGTCAGTCTTGGAATAAATTCTTGCAAAACTTACCGATAAATCTCTCGAACGTAATTAGACCCGGAAGATCGGCAGCCTTCGCGTGGAATCTTCTGCAAAGCGAAACGAATGCATCACGCGTAAGATCAGACGTTTCTTCACGATCGATAGGTTTTGCTCACTTTGCTCAAAAAATGGAATCAATCAATTTGTAATTATCGTTAACACCGTTTCACGCTCGTTTCAAACCAAGTAATATCCCTATAGATTTTCATCAATTGTCATTCATACGTTGAATTATTTCATATTATTCATTTCATTGAATCTTCGCCAATAGCAATATCAATACCCAAATACCATCCTCCCATCCTTAACCTTCCCTATATTCCCTGAAAATAGCCAATTCCCTACCAAGTATCCAATTCGCAACTTGAAAAAGACAGTTCTCCCCCCTTTATAGTCTTCATCCCTTATATTCTTCTGACGGCATTTTTCAAGTGACGAATTTCCACGAATTCACATAGATATTGTCCTTATGAAACTGACGGAACTCCAGTCAGAAATTGGAGTCCCATCTTTTTCACCCTTGTAACCCTAAGTATAGCATAATACCGCTATAACTCCCAATCACATTGATGTCCATTCGACAACCCCTCTTATGTTGGTCAAGCTAGGCCCTTCAACGTCCATGCGAACTCGCCATCCTGTATCTACGCACCAGAAGCACCGCTCTTTGTTACGAGGGAAGCTTTTAAACTGCGTACACACGTATTGTTTGCAGGAGAGTACGTGCTGTTTTATATATACTAGGGCAGAACACATATGTATATGTGTATATATATACAGGGTGGTTGGTAACTGGTGGTTCAAGCGGAAAGGGGGTGATTCTACGCGAAAAAAGAAGTCGAAAATATAGAATACATTTTTTTTTTAATTTTTCCATCGAGACAACGATCTACAGTGAGATCCGCTACAACGAGACGCGATGAAGTGCACGCGTACCGAGCGAAAATTCAAAGTCGATTTTCTCAAAAGCAAAGCCTCAAAGGAAAAATTGTTATTCTATATTTTCGACTTCTTTTTTCGCGTAGAATCACCCCCTTTCCGCTTGAACCACCAGTTACCAACCACCCTGTATATATATACACATATACATATGTGTTCTGCCCTAGTATATATAAAACAGCACGTACTCTCCTGCAAACAATACGTGTGTACGCAGTTTAAAAGCTTCCCTCGTAACAAAGAGCGGTGCTTCTGGTGCGTAGATACAGGATGGCGAGTTCGCATGGACGTTGAAGGGCCTAGCTTGACCAACATAAGAGGGGTTGTCGAATGGACATCAATGTGATTGGGAGTTATAGCGGTATTATGCTATACTTAGGGTTATTCCAATTGACGAATTCTTCAGATGGGGTGAATACGACGGATCACACTGGGTTCTTTAAATTTGTATCCAAGGTCATCCGAAGTTATGATTCTTGCCGTGCACGTTCACGAGGTATGAGTATTATGAGGCAATAGCATTATACAGGTTGTCCCTAACAATCATGGTACAATAGAAAGGGGGTTGATTCTAGTTGAAAAGACGGGTCGAGAATATAGAATTGAATTTTGTCCATATTACGCTTTCTTCGCGAGGAAATCCACTTTGCAAATTTGTCAGATATACTTAAATTTGGATCGTTTGGGATTCAGTAAAGGTGAATAATTGACACAAGGTTGTCGTGAGCGTGAAATTAAGTGGTCTACGTACAATAAAATCTTCTCGACCAATATGATAATTTGAACAATTCGTTCAAGAGGACAGAGGTCGTACCATTAATCGAAGAAACAAGAGTCATCGAATTCTTCAATCAGCACAAATTTTTTTTTCAACACGCGTAAATTTTATCTTTCCAAAATGACTTCAAATAATACGACTTCCTCTTAACCTATAGAACCCTCCTGCAGTCGGAAAATTTCGAAGCACTTTCAACGATAGGATAGTGTCTATACCCACTTCAACATTATCCTACACGTGCTCTGAACTTGAAAAATAGCAAAGAAACCACACCCAGCAGCTGGCCTAGAATACACACTATAAAGAGCATCATCCATTTTCCTTCTTTTCATATGTATACTATATCTCATATCTCCAGTCAGCTACCAAGGTCTACATGTTTACACGTATCGAATTTTGTATATCTGACCCTCCAAAGAGATTAAAGGCGTAATCGCGTAATCGTGCCATTTCTTAGCTGCATGCGCGTCCAAGAAATTTCCTTTTTACTGTAATGTTTTGTACTCAAAGGGTGTACGTAGATCTTCACGACTGACTATATACGTAACATATTTTCTCGTTCCGGTTGGCATCACCAAAGTGATTATTGGTCCCAGCCAGTGGCGATCAGCGTGGAAAGCCGTTATCCCGTAAAATAACAAGGATCGCTGCGTCAGCCGCTATATTTCATATTTTCACGTCTCTCCTTCTCCTATCCTATGTCTCTGTTGATGACAATCTATTGGAAGGAAATGGCCTGCTGCGGGGCCGGCCTATTTCGCTAACTACGTTAGACGATATTATATCGTTCGACCATCTGAAACATCCTGGCCCGTCCTATCACTGGCTCCCGAGAGATGTTACGAAATTAACGAGTCTCGATCATCCCTGGTTACGTTATTTTTGCCCCGAAGAAATGACGGGGTCGCTTCGTAAAACTATTTCCAGCTTTCGTCGCGTTCTTAATAGACGAGTTACTTGGCCTAAATGGCTAGAGATCAACGTATCGGGTTGGCCGAAAGATGGTTATTAAGGAAAATTTTCTAGACAATTGAATCGATTCATATCGAAAGCTTTCGTATTTTTGAACCGTTTATTTCAATTGTTCGTACGTCGAACGAGTTAAAACTTCGCGAAATAGGTTAGGTTAGGAAAGTCAACATTTCCATAACAATTTGGTGTTCCAAGTTTCGAAATTTTAGCACGAGTTTCAGTCTCCAATATACTAATGAGAGACTAATGTAGGTTCTTTATGGATCAGTGTGCATTTCCTTTTTTATATGTTTTTTATACGGTTTTAATGTCCACTATACTTCTCTTCTTTAAAGCTTGTAGTCAGGACTGAAATGCTTGTTTACGAGAACTCGGTGACGAAAAGCACAATTCTATTAATTATACGATGCATCCATTAGTTTTCCTATGGATTAATCTTTCCATGTTTCTTCCGTTGAGCTACGTTTTGAACGAAATGTTTACGAGCAAATTGTAGATTAATAATCTTTTTACAAAAATACAAATAAAAAGTTGTGCACTGATTTAGTTTTTATTAGCACTCTATTTTCTTGTCATTTCTGTGTGTCGTAGAATATTATGATGTTTCACCTAGCGCATAACGATAGCTTTATTTTCGTGTTCCATGAATTTCGGCTTGTGTTACCAGGTATTACTACGTAATTTACCAGTCACCTGATTGCCTGAGATGGTTCATTTTTGATAAAATACAAGAGTGTTTTCTTTATACTATCCTATGTGATCTAATATACTATTCTATGTAAGCAATTGTACTACATTAGGTAACCGAATGTACTACACTTTTCTTTTTTTTTATACGTGAAGAAATAGTAATGGACAGCCCGCCGCTCTTTCGCGTAGTGTCAGGTTTATCGACAAAAACTCCTAGAGTGCCCCAGCATTCTTCCCTACACTATGTAACCAAATGTAGTACACTATGTTACCGACTGTAATACACTATGTGTCAGAATGTAGTATACTATGTAAAAGAATGTAGTACATCATGTAATATAAAAATAAATAAAAATATGTCATACTATATTGTATTGTTACGTCTGGTCACCGGAAGTTACTTGCTACTAACTATTCGACTGACCAACATTTTGACTCGCTAGTCAATTTTCAATTTTTTTTTCTTTTTTATGCGCGAGGAGGGAAAAATGTATTATGTATACCCAGCGGCCCGTGTTTAATATACGTACCTTTGAGGTGGCAAGATGTTTGCGCCACCTTGGAGGTTTCTACTGCCCTCCGGAGCAGCTCCGCTCCTACGTACGCAGCAGAGGTCGTCCTCATCTCCTGCTCGAGCTTCTCGGGAACCCCGGGGACCNNNNGGGGACCCGACGACCCTCCTTTCCATCCCACGGGTCGTTTGGACGACGGCGGGTTCCTCTTCCTCCGTCGTCTCCCCGGTCTGCAGACTCCCTGCCCTTGTTCTTATTGGTAGAGCCTCCCTCCTTATAGGTTTAACGCCTGTCTGCACAGGCTAAGGAGCTGACTTCTCCCCCCCCCCCC